TGTAGCTGTCCGATTGGCATGAAGTATATTCGTGTAAGCATTCTGTTGGATTAGTAATTTTATTTAACTTGTATCAAATTAGCGATAAAACACGTATTCAACCATTAGACAAACGAAAAGCAAAAGGGCTTTCTTAAAGGTTTGGAGAGAATTGATGGAAACGACCTTTTCTAGATCTTTAGCATTGCAGTCCTTTGCAGTCCTCCAAAAGAAAGATGACTGGACAGTTTCGAAAGGAGTGAAGGGTATGTCGATCGTATAAGAATGCGCTGCTCGGAGAGACCTAGAATTCAATTTAGTAAGATAAACCTGAGATTCGAGAAGAGCCAGGTTATTGTAAATTTTGTAAAATGATATGGGTCGAAAGTACTGGCGTCTGACACTGAGATCAGGCAAACCTAGTTTATTGACTAGAGATAGACTATCAGTTTCGTAATTGAAGTTTCTGGTACCCGTAGTTCGACATACCCTCCACTCCTTTCGAAACTGTCCAGTCATCTTTCTTTTGGAGGACTGCAAAGGACTGGAATGCTAAAGATCTAGAAAAGGTCGTTTCAGAGATGGACAAGTCCGGTACTTTTCCAGTCCCAGTCCATGACGAGTTAAAATTTTCCAGTCCCAGTCCAGTCCTAGTCCGCTAAGCTTTAAGTCCGATGTCGACCACAGCATACATTGTTTTCCACTTCCATTTTTTTTTATCAGAGAGTAACTGTTTCTTTACATGGCCAGAAAAAGATAACAACAAAATTGTTTTGAATGTTAAAAAACAAAAAAAAGACAGGACTTTTTGTTTCTTTTTTTTTACGAGAAAATGAAAAGAAAAGCCTAATTCATAAGAGAAAAGTTACATTTGAGTAAAGTAACACATGAGACGGTTTATCTCGTCATTCTTGCCCGATGTGGTCGTATAAGAAAACCGGATTGAGGGAACACTCTTTCAACCGGAGTTGAAGCGCTGGGCACACATAGTGTCTTTGTTGCTAGTGAGCTCAACATCGGGTACAGAGAAGATTTCTTGAAAATTAAACTACTGTCTGTACCGTCTTCTTTCAAATAAAGTAAAATTTCCTCAGCAATATCATTGCTTGATATTGCTATAGAAGTTTTTTGTTTTTTTTCATTATTTTCCATATAACCAAAAATAGATTTTCTTTTCAAGTTGCCAGTAGCACCACTAGTATTCGTTGAAGCTTCACGCTGCTGACTACTTTGTTTTTTCTGAACACTAGCTTTCGAATGTAGTGATAAAGCTGCATCCGAAACAAGTTTTTTGACGTTTTCACAAATTGATATTTTATTTTCAGTTGAAAGTGGTGAAGCTAAAACCCAATTCGGTTCAAACTTGCTATCTAAAAATGAACTGATTAAAAAAATATTATCTTTGTAAAGTTCATAAAATCTTTTGTTCTTTTTCACCGACTTTTCAACTGGAATAGAAAGAACCTCTAATAATGCACCGGAACGACATTTTACTGAAATGAGTAAAACTTCGACTGGTGATGAGAGATGCTGGCAATCTTCTTTCTGTTTTACAAGATCAAAATAAATTGAAAGAAGAGAAGGAGCTACAAGACGGATAGAAGGACTATTTTCTGCTTGAGCCTGCACAGTAGCTTCAGAAAAAAACGCTAACACATCTACAAATTCATTTAAAATTGAAATGTCCTTACCAGACAAACACAATTCCGGTTTACCGAAGTCTTTCAAAATTTGATTCAGTCTTTCTGTAGGCATACTAACAATTTTACATAGAGTGTCATACTGACTGTTCCATCGAGTCTTATTTGGAGAAGGTATCAAGACATTAATACGTTCGAGACGTTCCGCGAAATGTGTAGATTGATGACTAAGTTTAGTGATAGCTGAACATTTTTCTAATGCATTTTTCGTGGAAACTCCGGTCTTTTTAAGTCCGTCTTTAACACATAACTGTATGTGAGAAGCATGGTATTCGAAAAACGTCGGTTGATTCAAAGTAGACTTCATCAGTTTCGTCTGAGTCGTCGTCGGATGAGGCTTCAACGTCAAAGCCTGAGTCGTCTTCGAAGTCATTTGCAGTATCATCGTCAACGTCATCAGGCACAAAACATGATTCAAACCCTGGAACAACAAAACCTCGAAATGTTGTTAAGTTATTACTGGCACTATCAGTGACAAGACGAACTAGTTTTGAATCTAATGAAAATGTCGAGATAACAGAATTCAGTTCAAATAACAATAGAGAGCCGTTATGAATTTCATTTAATTCTTTGAATGCTAACACGATAGATTTGAAATTTTCGCTGATAATAGATAGTGTGACCGGTGACAGCGAAATAAGATCTTTTACGTCGATCTGTCCATGTATCTAACGTGAGCGATACCCACCGAGCTTCATTACAAATCGATTTTAGATTTAAAATCATTTTATCATATAATTCAGGCATATACTGACGAGAAATAGATCTTCTGCTGACTACGGAATATTTCGGATCGACTTTTTTCATAAAACGAATAAATGAATCTCTTTCTACCATAGAGGGTGGCAGACCCAAATCAATTATAAGATCTTGAACGATAGCTTGATCTAACTGAATTTGACGAGGATGAGACTGACCGTAGACAGGTTTTCCACCAGCTAGATGTAGCAAAATAAGCACGTGAAGAAACAGAAAAATATGCATTTTTCTCGGCTAGTCGAATAAAATCCCCATGTACGTGTCGGAGAACTTCGATAGAAATCTTAATACCGTATGACTGAAAGCAGGCATCAATAAGCCAGCTTACAGAGCAATTAAATGAAAACACATTCTCAGTTTTTCCTTGAACATTTTCTATCTTGTTTTGAATAACTTTTCAAAAATGCTTTCTAATGTTCGAGATTAGGACGAAGGAAATAATACCGGCGCAAAATTGAGCCCGGAGTCAGACCCTTAGTCACCTTAAGCCCAAAGAACTATAAACTTGTACTTACTTATTTTATCATCAATTTTAGATTGAGATGATTCAACTTTAACTTGAACAGAAGCTAACCAGTCATTATAAATCTTTAAATGATTTCTTAACATATGCCGTTTGAAATTTGAATACCCAGTTTTTTTATCAGAAATCGATTTTTCTGGAAGTGACGGATCATTTCGACAAACCGTGCATACTGCACTCCACGTATCTTTTCCGTGATCATGTTTCAGATCAACAAAAAACTTTTCAAATACTTTTTTATTTGATGTTAAATTATCCTTATTAGAAGTCATTATGACTTAACGTAACTTTGAGAAAATTAGAATGTGCAGTGCAGAAAGGCAGACGAGCATTTAGTGACTGGTTTCTTTGCGTTGTTTGATTGGTAACCAATCAATCAACGGAAAAAAAGAGCCGCCTTTTGATTGTAAGTAACTCTGATCAAAAGTTTTGAATCAAAAGTTCTGATCAGAGCTAATGTTAACCGACTACGCGGTAACACGAAAAAGATAAAAGACTGACTTCGATTTCTTTATTCTTTTCATCTTTTTTCAAATTTAAACTCAAAGGTGCAGTCACAAATGTGAAAAACTAGCAGAAAAATATCCACGTCTCTTATGTCTCCAGTTCCAGTCCAGTCCAAGTCTGTTACACTCTCAGTCCCAGTCCAAGTCTCTTACGCCTTCAGTCCCAGTCCGGATGAAAAAGTCTCCCAGTCCGGACTTGGACTTGCCCATCTCTGAGTCGTTTCCATCAATTCTCTCCACACCTTTAAAAAGGCTTTAAAAGAACATCTTCATCTTTAATGGTTCTGTGTCTGAAATCTTCTTTTTCATCATTTTTTGCTATTTTTAGTTGTTGGTCATGATAGGCAGAAACTTTGAATTAAATGTTTTTTGTTCTTTCTTTCTGTTACAAGTCATTCTTATGTCTGAACTTTTTTTATGTACCATGGTATGTTACCAAACTAAAACAAAAAGAAAGAAAGAAAGAAAGACCATACGAGGTAGAACCAATTTGGAATAAGTTTTGAACAGTTGAAAGAATGTAGAATCTGATATGCTATATAGCACGGTTCTATCAAAGTAGTCGAAATCAGAGTGTCTGGAAAACCAAATATCAGAAAGCCTTGCCCCAGACTTCGATCTAGAAATTCGTTCCAAAAATGTTCGTCATGTGGAGCAAACATTTCTGAAGAAATGAGACGTCTCCAAGCTCTTTACGAGATTTTGTCATGAGACAGCAGAGAAGGCCCATACCAGCAAAACTAACAGGAAAACGCGTTTATGACCTTCCGCAAATTGCATGCTGTCTCATGATAAAATCTCGTAAAGAGCTTGGAGACGTCTCATTTTCTTCAGAAATGTCTGCTCTACACGAGTTTGGACACGAATATACTTTCATGTCAATAGGACAGCTACATGATTCTAATTGTACACCATGCCAACAAGATTGTTGCTAGGAGTGCATCGGTTTTTTTTTCGTATTTTTCAAAAATTCATAATAAATGGTTTGTATTTTCGTAAAAACGAGTTGCAGCATTTTTTGAAAACGGCAGTTTTGTAGACAAAACATTTCTCTACAAGACAGTATACAAAAGGTATTTTAGAAGCTTTTCGTTTCCTTTTAGAAAGCGTTTTCCTCAAACGCGTTTCAAACGCGTTTCGTTCAAAAGGAAACGAAAAGCTTCTAAAATACCTTTTGTATACTGTCTTGTAGAGAAATGTTTTGTCTAGAAAACTGCCGTTTTCAAAAAATGTTGCAACTCGTTTTTACGAAAATACAAACCATTTATTATGAGTTTTTGAAAAATACGAAAAAAAAACCGATGCACTCCTAATTGTTGCCCCAACAGAAAACCGTTGAATGTAAGCCACCGACGAGAACAATAAATAAATCCGTTGCGTAGAACGGATTTCATTGGGTATCAATTTCTTTTTATCATCAAATATTTTAGATACAAATAATCACTAAAATTTTCAGCATGATACATCTTCATTGCAATATTAACCAAATGAACAATTTTCACACTTTTATTTATATCTATTTACAAATTTAAAGCTGTGCTAACTTTCTTGGGGCGGCCTTTTGCTTTTCGTTTGTCTAATGGTTGAATACGTGTTTTATCGCTAATTTGATACAAGTTAAATAAAATTACTAATCCAACAGAATGCTTACACGAATATACTTCATGCCAATCGGACAGCTACA